TAAGCAATAGGCATGGAAGAGGGCTATGTAAATATAAAAGTAACAAAGTAATTCATGGTTATAAGGTTTCTATAAATAAATTAAAACTGGCAATTAGAAGACTTTCTAATTATGTAAGAAGTGAAATTCTGTAAATTTGTTTTTCCATTAGAGGAATGGATGTCAAAAACCAAATTAATTTTAAGATAAAATGTGGTAAATATATGGAGTTATGTGAAGTAGAGGTGTAAGGGGTTTATTAATAATGTCCTGGTGTGCCCTATTAACTTCTCACGGTTCTAGAGGGAAGGTTAATGCTTATCTACCTTTAAGCTGTCAGGTGACATAACTTAATCCATTGAAGAGACCACAAGTAAAAAAAAAAAAAAAAAGCTGGTACACAGAAATTGGTTCTTACAGACAGATCCTGGGGAATTGTATTCCACTCACCTCTGAGCGAGTGAGTGGAAACTCAGTTGTCCTAAATTAAATTAAGTCATAACGTATAGCCTCTGCAGTTACTAGTTACTGACTGTTGATTCTGTAACACTCTTCTGTCAGATCAGAGATTATACGAAAGGGAGAAAATGCGATGCATTTTTTTTAACCTGCTTTCCCATACCTTCAAACTGGGGCAAACCATACTGTGAACATCAGCATATAAATTAGAAACTGGAAAATGAGGAAAAAAATGTAGGAAAATGTGATTTCAGAAGGCAGAAATGTCAAAATAGGAATCTGTGCTCCTAGCCATCAGACTACCTATAAAAAGCAGTTACATTTTAATGCTTTTGTTATAACTAATTCTGCTCCGTGTTTGCTAGTCATGTGTTGTAGATACATCTTCTGAGCAGAGTTAGACAAAAGGATGCCTAGGATGCTTGTGGCTCTGGGTGCCTTGTCTACAATTAGTTGTTCAGAAAAAAAGTAGAATTGAGACTGTGGTGGCTGAAAAGTCAGCAAAATGTCTGCTGTGGTTTAAACCTGATGGACAGCTAAGCCACTCACTCTGTTGCAGTGAAGGGAGAGAATCAAAAAAGCAAAAATGAGAAATGTCTTGAATTGAGAAAAAAAGTTTAATGATGAACAAAGGTAAAAGGATAAAAACAAAAAAAAAAAAAAAAAAAAAAAAGCAAAAGAAACCAAGTAATGCAGAAGCAATCAGTTACCACCAGCCAGCTGATGTGTAGCCAGTCACTGAACAATAGCCATCTTAGAAAACTCACCTTTAAGATTTTCTGGTATTATGTGGATGTTATTCTTTTGATGAGTTGCGTTCTGACTCTTGCCAGCCCTCAGCCTGTTCGCTTCTGGAGTGTGTTTATAGTTGGGTGGAGTGAGAAACAGTTTAGGCCTTGACGGTCTGTAAGCACAGGAAGTTCAGCAATAGTCAAAATATTGTGTAGTGTAGTATCATTACTGTTTTGATCACAGATCAAAAGCATATCATCATCCAACCTTCTATGATGAAAATTAACTCTATCCCAGATAGATTGAGTACAGTATTACTTTGTTAAAAGAGAGTATTACTTATCTCAAAGAGAAAATAAAACATTCCTGTGTTAATGAGGAAGCAGTTATTTTTTCACTTCAATGGGACTTGCTTTTATTCACTAAGGAATTAATTTGGGGAGGAAGAATTTTTTACTCTCTTATTTTCTATTTCATTTTGAGGTACCTCTGTGTCAATGATTTTTTGTTGCAATAAGGTGTTGAGCTGATCACAGAATCATAGAATCATAGAATCACCAAGGTTGGAAAAGACAGCCAAACACAACCTCCCTTCAAGCAGGGAGTGATAAGGTCACCCCTGAGCCTCCTCTTCTCCAGACTAACAGCCAGTTCCCTTGGCTGTTCCTCATAAGACTTGTACTCCAGAAGACTCACCAGCTTCATTGTTCCTCTCGGAATATGCTTCAGGGCTCCATCTTTCTTGTAGTGAGGGACCCAAAACTGAATATAGTACTTGAGGTGCAGCCTCGCCAGTGCTAACTACAGAGGGATGATGACTAATCTGTTCCTGCTGGCAATGCTATTTTGGGTAGAAACCAGGTTGAACTGAACATGAATCAGCAGTGTGCCCAAGTGGCCAAGAAGGGCCACTTCTTGGCCACTTGGGCACACTGCTGATTCATGTTCAGTCTAGCACTTACCAACACCCCCAGGTCTGTTTCTTCAATACAGTCTTCCAGCCACTCTGGCCCAAGTGTGTAGTCCTGCCTGGAGTTGTTGTGGCCAAAGTGCAGGATCTGTTGCTTGATCTTGTTGAACTTCATCCAACTGACCTCAGTCCAGTGATTCAGCCTGCTCAGATTGCTCTGTAGGGCCTTCTTTCCCAAGGAGATTAACACTTCCTGCCAACTTGGTGTCATCTGCAAAGTTACTGAGGATGGACTCAATGCCCTCATCTTGGTCAGCAGTAAACATATTGAACAGGTCAGGCTCCAATACCAATCCTTGGGGAACACAGCTCATGACCTGTCACCAGCTGGATTTAACTCCATTCACTATCACTTTCTGGATCTGGTAATCAGACAGATCTATACACAGCAAAGGATTTATCTGTCAAAGCCCTGGGCTGCCAGTTTTCCAGGAGAATACTGTGGAAAACAATGTTGATGGCTTTGCTGAAGTCTAGGTAGAATATGTCAACAGCCTTTTCCTCATCCATAAGGTAGATCACTTGATCATAGGAGATAATATTGATCAAGCAAGACCTGCCTTTCATAAGCCCATGCTGGCTAGGTCTGATGCCCTGGTTGTTCTGCACTTGCCGTATGATCTCCCTCAAGATGATCTGCTTCAGCACTGAGGCCATGCTGACAAGCCTGTAGTTCCTCAGATCTTCCTTACCACCCTTCTTTTGGGTGGACATCACTTTCAGCATCTCCAGTCCTCTGGGACCTCTCCAGATGACCAGGAATACTGGAAGATGCTGGGAAGTGAGTTGGGTATCACTTCTGCTACCTCCATCAGCACCTTTGGGTGGAAACTATCCAGACCCACAGATTTGTGGCAGCCCAAGTGAAGTAGTGAATCTCTAACTGTTTCCCCTGAATTGTGGGAGGTTTATTCTGCTCCCCATCTGAGACTTCCAGGTCAGGGGATAGAGTACCCTGAGGTTAACTGGTCTGATGTTTAAAGACAGATGAATCATTTGATGTAGAACCTTCATTTGTTAATCATGCTACTAAACTTAGCAAGGCTTCATCATAGGTAGGTTAATCTTTTCTTAACTTGATGTGCTTAATAAACCCGGAAAAAGGAGGATGACTCTTTTATATCCTTGGATTTCTTCTCTTACTCTCTCATCAGCTCTAGGGACCCTTGTAGGATGATACTGTACTATTAAAGCCATGCATGTTGTGATCCTACAGAGAATGTTTTTTTTCTATTTTAGCTAAAACAAGACTTTACAGCAGAGAGAAACGACAAAGCTAATTTCTTAAAAGGACAGAGCTGGGTTTTAAAATATCACCTCGGTTTCTATTTCTGTCAGAACTAGAACTGAGAGAAAGCTGTGTGGACACTTCTATACTTTTCTCTGTTCCAAGCTGTTCTGACCATATTCAGCCTGGCAAATTCACAGAAACATTTAGATGGATACTGGCCCAGCTAAATTTATACTTTCAAGATAATGTTGTTTCCAAGAGGAACTATGTGATCTGAGCAAAATGCTGCAGGCCTAAGTGATTTGAGGCTGCTAGTATTGATCATCAAATTATATGCCTCTGCCTCTGCCAAAAAAAATTTCAGAGAAACATATTGAGACTCTTTATTCTCTGCAGTTTTTTCTTTTTGTTTGCAAGCACCACCTACCTTCCAGCAATGGCTTCCAGCTATTTCCATGCCTTGTAATAGCTGAGCAGCACCATGTAGATCTTGTTCTGAAGGGAATATAACTAAGTGTAGTGCCATAAGGAATAGTTTGCTATTATGACAGTGTTTTGAACACTTGTGATGTATTGCAGGGAGATTCTCTCCATTGTTAGCCAAATCAAGAAACTCTAGTTTTTTTCTTTAAAATTTGATTATAAATAGAAGAAGATACAAAATTTTACTCCTTGTGCTTGCCTGGTTTGCCAACATATAGTCTTCTTTGAGAATCTGTTGAAAAAGATGCTGTTCTCTCTTTATTTCCATTTGATGAATCACATCTAAATTTCTTACTAGTGCTTTCTATTGTGATTGCTATATTTTGTTATTGTTTAGAGGGGAATATCATCCATGTAGTATCATCCATGTATCATCCAACAGGACAGCTATCCAAAGCTCTCTTGACTTCATTATGTGTGTGTTTAAGGATCCCTTTGTAATGCTTCAGCTATTTAGTATCTTCAGATTTCTTACATCCTTTGCATTTTTCCAGTATAATGTTGTTCTGCATTTTAATAATGCTTTCAAATCTGTTTTTGCCGAAGCTTGTCTAATGCTGTAACAGAAGTAGGGAATGCAGTGTGGCTAAATGTAGCTTAAAATATTCTTGATGTCCTAAAATAAAGCTGACAAATAATGAGGGATTGCAATAAAACAAATAACAAAACAAATACATACTTCATCTTTTATAATAAAAAATACACAATGCTGTAAAAGGAGACAGAACTGTTAATATGGTAACTTAGGTATAGTAACCCAACCAAGAGGTTCTCAAACAAGTAATAAAATGTTTTTCAGTCATCAGACAAATTTCCTGAGGTGGAGACTAAATTCTCTCGTTTTAGCTGAGGTCCGTAGGTATCTTTTCCCTGGTAGGACCAAAGTCTTAACAAGTTGTTACTGCTTACAAACCCTAACCACAGTCATTACGATTAACAAAGCTGTATGAATATGACAAAGCTCTTTTACTTCCTACTCCTCCAATGTTAGTGGTATATAGATGGTATTTATTCATTTTATTCATTTCTTACTCATCACCACATTAAGAAGTTTTTTCATACGTTACATTGAATAAGCCTTTTATTTTCTCCTTTTTTCTTTCCCCCCCCCCCCCTTCACTGATTTTAATTGTCTTTCTCTAACAGGCCACTTAAAAAATCTCAAAGTACTCAATGTAAGTTTTAATAATTTGAAGTCTGTCCCTCCGGAGTTGGGTGACTGTGAGAATCTTGAAAAACTGGATTTGTCTGGAAAT